TGTTGTAGGCTACATAATTACGTAGGAATGCGCGTTTTTGGTGGAACCATAGACATAATAAATACTTTATATTTATATTAATATACTATAGATTTATATTCAATTCTATTAAATAGAAATTTATGAATAACAAATATTAATTTATTATTTATGGACGCAACCTTGGGCTCGGCCACTCTGAGGTTGATTCTGAGCCGCATGTGGCCCGCGGACTGCCAATTGAATAGCCCTGGGGTCTGTTCTTCGTACGTGGATTACTCAATGAGCTGGATTTGGATATTGACGATTTGACACGATCCAGGATCGTTTCGTTCTTCAAAACTTAACTGAGACTTGTTGTCATAGCAACAGTTCTGGTAGCTCAAAACTGCTCGGGATTAGGCTCATTTCATATAAACAGTATTAGATTGGGTCAGTTCAAGCAAAGATAATACTGAAAGTACCAAATGCTGATATTTTCTTACAGTAGTTATATACACTTGGCAAAATAGTAAATATATATTTTATACTATACATTTAAAGTAAAAACTATATATATATATATATATATATATATATATATATATATATATATATATTAATAAAGCTTGTGCAATCTGCACTCCGAAAAAAAAAATGACAAAGACTGCCACCTGTTAGTTCAAAGAGAAAATGTATTGATATGAACTTTTTAGAAACAAATACATACATGCACAATATTTGATTTAAAAAAAAAAAAGATTAATTATTTATGCAGTCATGCAGGTGTTTTTACCGCTAATATGCCGGTGATTTGATGCTTCGCAAAAGTTGCAGACATCTTTACCGATTTCAAAATGCTTTTTTGATGCAAAATTAATTTATACTGTTATTTCTTACACCAATTAAAAAAACTTGAGTAGGCTTAGGGTACTATAATAAAAACAGTCTTCTCTAGATGTAGAACTAAATACATTGATATGCATTGAAATACATGATGAATACTCTTGACACATGAAAATGTAAAGCCTGCAGCCCACAACAAATGTGAAAAGTTATTGCGTGTCATATTTAACGAACTGTTTACTGTTAATTTAATGTAATTTTGCTTACATGGATAATTGAATATTAATCAGATGATGTCATTACACTGCTGTGTCGTCAGCCAATCGTTGCATTGCTGATCATGATTTAGAGGATCGATAGATCTGTCCTTCACAACACACGCAGCGATCTCA